GAGAAGGGCGAGAGAGCCAGGGGAAGAGAGAGAGGAGAGGAACAGAGAGGTAGAGAGACGGAGAGACGAGGGGAAGCGGGAAACGAGAGGAGAGAGAGAAAGCAGAGGGGCGGAGAGCAGAGAGAGAGGAGGCCGGGGAGAGAGACGAGAGAGGGGAGAGAGAGGGAGCAGGGGGGAGACGACAGGAAGGGCGAGAGAGAGGAGAGGCGGGAGCAGAGAGGAGCAGAGGGGGGACGCAGGACGAGAGAGGCGGGGACGACAAGAGAGGAGAGAGAGGGAAACGAGCGCAGAACCAAGAGAAGAGAGGAGAGAGGAGAGAGAGGGAAGAGAGAGGAGAAAGAGAAGAGAGAGGGGGAGAGGAGAGAGAGAGAGAGAGGAAAGAGAAGACAGGAGAGAGAATAGAGAGCGAGAAAGGAGAGAGAGCACGAGAGAGGAGAGAGAGAGAAAAAATGTATTAAATCAATTGTGCCACCAGTACCAGGTTGGAATTGCAACTCCCCCTGCACACAAGTCCCTCCTGCTGATTCCTCATCCCACCATCCTCTCCTCCCACGTCCCCAACAGCTTTTTTGAGGGAGACCCTAAGAGGTGGAGACAGATGACTGTCATCACATGTAGGCTAGAGGGTGTCCAAGAAGTGGCTTTCCCAACCCAGCTATGCCCCACAAACCGATGTGACAATTTACCATGATGTCAGAGGGGCCATCTAGTTTCAAGCTTTTCAAATCCCGACTACAGCTGAGGCACTTTTCAATTGGGAAGGGCGAATAAGGCGGCTTCCATGAAGGAAACTCGAGGGGCTACATGGAAACCAACACTCCTGCAAATCATCGTTATTGATGCAAGTATGGTGGTCCCTGTCGCCCTATCTCCTGTCTGCCTGTTACATGCCTTTCTTCTCCAGGAAACAGAATTCTTAGGCCACCAGAACTCCCTTGGATATATTTTCCTGACCCCAAGCACATCGTAGGTACAAAGGAAGGAAGGAATGCATGAAGGATGAAGAAATCAATCTGCAGAGAGACAAGAGAAAAACCCTTTCTGCAGGTGGCTTGGGAACAAATGCAGCCGATAAAACCCTACAGAGCCATCATGTCTACGGTGGTAGCCTGCCAGGAAGAAGGAAGGACAGTTAAGAAGAAAAGAGAAAATACCCAGTAGCGGGATTGCTGGGTCAAATGGTAGTTGTACTCTCAGTTCTTTAAGGAACTTCCATACTGTTTTCCATAGTGGAAAAGAAGTCATCCTATGAAAAAAATACCTGCACACGCATTTTAAAAGCAGCACAATTTGCAATTGCAAAAATGTGGAACCCACCGAAATGCTCATCAATCAACAAGTGGGTAAAGAAACTGTGGTATGTATATACAAAGGAATACTACTCAGCCATGAAAAGGAATGTCATTTGCAGCGACCTGGATGGGATTGGAGTCTATTATGCTAAGTGAAGTAAGTCAGGAATGAAAAAGCAAACATCGTGTGTTCTCACTCACATATGGGAGCTAAGCTGTGAGGATGCAAAGGCATAAGAATGACACAATGGACTTTGGGGAATCACGGGGAAAGGGTGGGAAGGAGGTGAGGAATAAAAGACTACAAATAGTGTGCCGTGTATACCGCTCGGGTGATGGGTGCACCAAAATCTCACAAATCATCACCAAAAGGCCGGGCGCGGTGGCTCAAGCCTGTAATCCCAGCACTTTGGGAGGCCGAGACGGGTGGATCACAAGGTCATGAGATCGAGACCATCCTGGCTAACCCGGTGAAACCCCATCTCTACTATAAAATACAAAAAACTAGCCGGGCGAGGTGGCGGGCACCTGTAGTCCCAGCTACTCGGGAGGCTGAGGCAGGAGAATGGCGTGAACCCGGGAGGCGGAGCTTGCAGTGAGCTGAGATCCGGCCACTGCACTCCAGCCTGGGCGACAGAGCGAGACTCCGTCTCAAAACAAAAACAAAAACAAAAACAAATCATCACCAAAGACCTTCCTCATGTAACCACACACCATGTGTTCCCCAATAACCTATGGAAATAAAAAAATTAATTTAAAAAAATCTGGGAGGCCAAGGCAGGTGGATCAGTTGAGGTCAGCAGTTCAAGACCAGCCTGGCCAACATGGTGAAACTCTGTCTCTACTAAAAATACAAAAATTAGCCGGGCGTGGTGGTGGGCATCTTTAATCCCAGCTACTTGGGAGGCTGAGGCAGGAGAATCCCTGGAACCCAGGAGGTGTTGAGTGCAGTGAGCCCAGATTGCGCCACTGCACTCCAGTCTGGGCAACGGAGCAAGACTCTGTCTCAAAATAAATAAATTAAATAAATAAAAAAGAAAGAAAACGGAAAAACATGAAGCCCTGTTCGGAACCTCCCCTGCAGGCTGCCAGCTCCTCTAAGGTTCCCCCTATGGAGCAGGCCTCACTGTCTCTAATCTCTACCAATTGAAAGCACAATTTCTAGGATGCCCAGGGCACATTTTTTGAAATGTGGAAAGCCATTAGCAATTCCTCCTTAAACATAGAGGGCTGGACTCCTAAGAGATGCTCTAGGCTGAGTTACATACTATTAAGAAGAAATTTTGCTGAGCAAACCCGGCCTCCTCTGTCTTCCCCAGAGCCGGGCATGCAGGCTTTTAATCCTAAATATATTCAGCCCTGGTAAGTGTGGGTGGAGGATTACCCAGATGCCGAGGCAAGAAACTGAAGGCACCAACTGTTTCAGTGTAATAAACAGTTAGAATAAGACTAGTTGTAATATAAATTAGATATAGAGATGATCATGGACATTATCAATCACTAGTATAAATATTACTAATCATTAGCTTTTAATATTACTCTTTGTTGCATTACTCATATAACCAAGGAATAACCGGCGGGTATAGGGTCACGTGCTGAAGGGACATTGTGACAAGTAACCTAGAAGGCAAGAGGTGAGCCCCCTATCACACCCGCATAAGGGTCGCTTGAGGGTTCCTCGGTCAAGCGGTAATGCCAGTGCCTAGGAAGGCACCCGTTACTTAGCAGACCGCGAAGAGGAGGCTCCTTTCCTTTAGGAGCCAGGGAACACTGCTCCACCAGCTTCTTGTGGAAGGCTGGATATGATCCAGGCCTGCCCGCAGTCATTGGCCTAAGCCCCCTCCTGTGGTGCTCTGCTTCAACGCTCCTTGTCCACCTTCACGTTCCTCCCATACTCCAGGTTCCTCTTTAAAGTTCTTAGAAGATAGTGGTAGAAGAAATAGTGAAAGTCTTAAAGTCTTTGATCTTTATGATAAGTGTATAGAAGAAAACGTTGACGTATGCTGCCTTCCCTCTCTGCTACTTGACCTTATCAATCACTTGGATGACTCACCCTCCTCACCCTGCCCCCTTGTCTTGTATACAACAAATTATCAGCGCCCAACCATTCAGGGCCGCTACCACTACCGGTCTCGGTGTCTTGGTGGTAGTGGTTCCCTGGGCCCAGCTGTTTTCTCTTTATCTATGTGTCTTTTGTCTTTATTTCTTATGATCTCTCGTCTCCACACATGGGGGAACACCCGCCAAGCCCTGTAGGGCTGGACCCTACAGGTAAGGCCAGTCCAGACACGACACTGCCTGCAAGCCGGTCTACTTAAAAACCTGACTAGGCTGGCATGGTGGCTCACGCCTGTAATCCCAACACTTTGGGAGGCCGAGGCAGGAGGATCACCGGAGGTCAGGAGTTCAAGACCAGCCTGGCCAACATGGTGAAACCCCATCTCTACTAAAAACACAAACATTAGCCAGACATGGTGGTGGGTGCTTGTAATCCCAGCTACTCAGGAGGCTGAGGCAGGAGTATTGCTTGAACCTGGGAGAAGGAGGTTGCAGTGAGCTGAGATTACACCACTGCACTCCAGCCTAGGCGACAGAGCTAGACTCTGTCTCAAAAAAAAAAACCTAACTATATTAAGGACCAAAAATGCACCAGGGAGTGGAAAAAGGAATTTATAACACAGGACAGCCAGCAGGTTCCCCTGTTTTATTTTAAAAGGTTGGGGATAGAAAAATGTTGTTAACGAGTATAATTGAATTGCTCGCTACGCAAAGGATAAACACGTGAGGGGATGAATACTGCATTCTCCATGATGTGACTATTGCTTATTGCAAGCCTGTATCAAAATATCTCATAGACTCATAAATATATATACACCAACTACGTACCTACAAAAATAAAAAATAAAGAAAAACACTGTTAAGGTAACAGTGTCGGGGATGGCAGGGGACCCTTCCTTCCTGGTATTTTTTCTGTTTTCCGAATTCTCCTCTGGTACGCACGGACAATCTGGTAGGGGCACATTTCTACCCCCACGTGTCGCTTTTCACAGGGACCTGTCGCACAGCGCACGGGCTTAAATTCCTGGAGCCTGTATCCGCTAATTTTTTGTTTGTTTGTTTGTTTTCAGACAGAGTGTCACTCTGTCGACCAGGCTGTAGTGCAGTGGTCCCATCTCGGCTCACTGCAGCCTCCGCCTCCTGGGTTCAAACGATTCTTGTGCCTTAGCCTCCCAAGTAGCTGGGATTACAGATGTGCACCATCACACCCAGCTAATTTTTGTATTTTTAGTAGAGATGGGGTTTCACCATGTTGGCCAGGCTGGTCTCGAATTCCCGACCTCAAGTGATCCTCCCGCCTCGGCTTCCCAAAGTTCTGGAATTACAAGCGTGAGCCACCGCGCCCGGCCCGCAAAGTATTTTTGAACGTTTTCAGGAGTGAACATTTTTTCTAACTTTCCTTCCCCTCCCCCACCCCGGGTCTCAGGCTCCCAGCAATTCCAAATTTAGCCCCGGGATGCAGGGCGTGGCTCCGGGAGGCTGCTCCAGGGAGACCTCCCCAGTTGCCCTAACCAAGACCCAGGTCCCAGAATCCTGGGGGGCGGTGGGGAGATAACAGGGGACGTGAGGGGCTCATGCAAAGGTGCAGAGATCCCTAAGAACGTCACCAGGGTTGGGGTGAATCGGATGCCACCTCTTCCCCAGGTCCCTCTAAATTTAAGAGCTTGCGATTCTGAAAAGTGTAGAAGGAAAATTAAAACTTGGAACCCCAGTTCACTCTGCCAAAATAATAATAATAATAATAAATAAAGTTGGAAGCTGAATTAGGCAAAAAGCTGTCTTTCCTTCTGTTCCCAAGCAGATAGATGCAGAGAAAGAATGCAACAACTCGGTTGACCTTATCTTAGTAAAGTGCCAATTTAGTGAGCGTAAGACAAACACATAATTGACTATTCTACCTGCTCCTTTTCTTTTGCAACAGGTGAATTGGGTAAAATGAGCCTTCCTCCTCCTTTCCCCTCCAGCGTGCTTCCCCCCCTTTAAATACCTAAGCCCTCAGTATCAACTTTGGAGAAAGGGCTCCTTCCTGACCTTCGCCAAATTAACGCAAATGTATTGAGACTTGTCCCAGGTACTTTTTGGTTTACAAAAGAAACGCCGACCTTTCCCTCTGAAACGGCTGCCACTTGGCCCCAGGAAGAGCGTTGTGGAGAAAGTAGGCGCCTCCTCCGGACCTGGGCCCCCGTGGGCACAGCGCGTCCCGCCGGGCAGGGAAGAGGGACCGGGTGTCCCAGCGGGGTGCACCACCCCGCAACCCACATCCCCAAGCGGATCTCCAGGCCCGACCCGCGCCCCACCGCGTCCCCCGACCCGGATCCCGCCGCTCGCTCACCAGGGACGGCCACCAGAGGGCGGAGCAGGCCGAGGAGCAGCAGCCCAGCGCGCCATGGCGCGCCCAACGCGAGCAGGAACCGTCCCCGAGAGCAGCGCGCCCGCGAAGGCTGCGGGACAGAACCTCCCACACTAGCCGGGTGGGGCGGAGCCCGCGGACGACTCGAAGAGGTTGGGTGAGTGGAGCAGCCCTGCAAGCTCAGCCCGGGCTGCGCCTGCCCCGCCCCACCCCGGCCTCCACGTGCACACGGAAGGGGCGGCAACGCCGGGCCCCGGGGAGGGGGAGGGGGCGGAGGAGGGGCCCCGGGGAGGGGGAGGGGGAGGGGGCGGAGGAGGGGCCCCGGGGAGGGGGCGGAGGAGGGGCCCCGGGGAGGGGACGGGCGGAGGTGACCCAGGCGGCGCCGAGGGGAGCACGGGACGCCCCCCTTCCCTTCTCAGGAAACTGTGAGTGCCCCCGGCCCACAGGCCCGTCGCCAGGACGCCCAGGACGGCGCCAACTAGAGCAAAGTGCAACCCCCGGGAAAGTGCGGGTCCCTCCCTCTTTACAGCCCCTTAAATGCACGCCCCAGGGTGGTCCCTACCTGGAGCCAAGAGAAACCACTGCCCTTCTTGGAGAGGTGTGGGCCTCTCTGCACTCGCCCTTGCTGTCCTCTCTCTGTTCCTAACAGGCACCCTCCCAGGCAGCCCCCACGGGGAGAAAAGGAAACTTTTCCTGCTTCTCTGCTCGGAAAACTATGGGGCCCTCTTCCCGCTGCTCGCGGGGCGCTCAGGGCGCTCCCCAAGGGGTGCAAAGTGCAATCCCTTCCCTGCTCAGAAAGGCGTAGGCCTCGACAGGCAGCCACGGCCCCTGGTCCTTTCTGGAGCGTCCGAGCTGGGGGCGCTCAGTGGAGAGGGATGGCGGGGGTGAGGGGCTTTGGGACACACTGCGGATACCCACTCTGCGCGGGACCAACGACGTTCGGCCACAAGCTCAGAGACAGGGTTGGGAGTGAGGACTTGTGGCCGTGGTTTGGGGTTGGGGGTAAGACCCCTATCTGGGTGGCCTGGCTGAGTCCTGGTCCTTGGCGACTCGCCCCCGCAGGCTGAGTCAGGGGCCCTTCGGTAACACTGGTCTTGTGTTGTGCCAGGCCTGCGGCGACGCCGTCTTTCCCCAGACCATCTGTGCCCCTGGATCAGACACAGGCAAGGCCAGAGGGCCTGGCTCCGCACCCCAGGGCCCACCTCAGGGGTTTGAGGATTGCAGCAGTGAAACTATGCACTCCACTCCTGGGAGGCCGGAAACTTTCTTTTTTTTTTTTGCCTTTGTTTCTTTCTTCTTTTTTTTTTTTTTCTTTTGTCTTTGCTTCGTCCTGAACCTGCCTGGGATAATGACGTGATGACTGAAGTCCCAGCAGCCAGTTTGGAGCAGGAAGTCTCCTACAGGATAGAAGTTGTGTATGTGTTGTTTGTTTGTTTTGAGATGGATTCTTGCTCTGTGGCCCAAGCTGGAGTGTAGTGGCACCCTCTTGGCTCACTGCAACTTCCGCCTCCTGGGTTCAAGTGATTCTCCTGTCTCAGCCTTCTGAGTAGCGGGGATTACAGGCGTGCACCACCATGCCTGGCTAATTTTTGTATTTTTAGTAGAGACAAGGTTTCACCCTGTTGGCCTGGCTGGTCTCGAACTCCTGACCTCATGATCCACACACCTCGGCCTCCCAAAGTGCTGGGATTACAGGCATGAGCCACTGCGCCCAGCCAGAAGTTGTATTCTAAGCATGGCAGAACACGTTGAGCAAAGGTATCAGGGTGGCTGGTGACATAGCACGATGGCCATGCCAGCCCCAGACTCACTCTCCCAACTTATTTTACAGGACAGAGGCGTACATTTTTATCTCACTGTTTGCTAAAGTCAGGTCTCCATCAGCTTTCTTTAAATCACTTTTATTTCTGTTTTTCATTACCAGGGTCTGAACCCAACTTAGAGACCTCCTGTGAGGTTCTTGTGGACAACCAAGACCCTTAAGAGATGTCTGAGCGTTACACACCATGTCTGCTGCACAGACGATCAAATGAAGTTTTTGAGGTCAGTGGATGATGGGTGGATATAGATGGGTCTGAGGGTAGGAAGTGGTGGATGGATGAATGAATGGACAGACAGCCATCTGCATGCACGAATGGGTGGATCACTTGCTGTAAGGATGGATAAAGAGATAGATGGCTGGATGAATGAATAAATGGGCAGACAAATGGGTGGATGGATGAGAGGATGAGTGGATAGATGGATGGAAAGATGAGTGGGCGATTGGGTGGATAGATAGTTGGGTGGATGGATGAATGGATGGATACATGTGAATAAATGGATGAATGGATGGGTGGGTGGATGAATAGATGAATGAATAGATGAATAAATGATGAATGGATGGGTGGGTGGAGGAATGGATGGATAAATGGACAGATGAATAAATGGATGGATGAAAGCGGGGATAAATGGATTGATCTATGGATAGATGGATAGATAGGTGAGTGGATGGGTGGGTGGATGGATGGTTGGAAGGATAGATGGATGGACAGATTACTGGGTGGATGGAGGAGTAGAGAGATAGATGGGTAGGTGGGTGGATGGATGGATAAATGGGTGAACAAATGGGTGAATAGATGGGTGGACAGATTACTGGCTGGCTGGATGGGTAGAGAGATAGATGAGTAGGTGGGTGGGTGGATGGATGGATGGATGGATGAATGGATGGATGGACGGATGGATGGATAGATGGATGGACAGACAGACAGATGGATAGATAGCTGGATAGATGGGTGGGTAGAAGAACAGATGGATGAATGGATGGATGAGTAGGTGAATAGATGGATTGATGGACAAACAAGTAAATTTTTACCTGACATTTTTGTGTTGTCGTATAACTTTCTATGTGTTGATTCACTGGGAAATAATTGTGATACATGGATATTGGACTTATTAGCTCATGTCTGCTGATAAGAAAACAACACAGGGCCATAGAGTTCATTGGCAGTGGGCTGGGATCAAAACGAAGGGCTCTTTGATTCTGAGTTCAGGCCATTTGGACCACTTTGCCTTGTGACTGCCCCCAGATCACTGGAATTTTCCTCGGGGTTCACAGCGCCCAAAGGTAAGCAGTATTTGGTAGCCTAGAGTTCATACATTGGAAATTTCATGGTCTGTGTCCCCTCAGTGGTACAAAGCATTTTTACAGCAATAATTAATTTGGCAATAACTTGATGTGTGAGCCTGTGTATGCGTCTTTTCAGCTGGCTAGTACAGTATCAGTGATGCCATGTTCGCATGCTAAATACCAGCCAGAGACATGCAAGAAAAGAAGGGCAGGCCGGGCGCGGTGGCTCGTGCCTGTAATCCCAGTACTTTGGGAGGTTGAGGTGGGTGGATCATCTGAGGTCAGGAGTTCGAGACCAGCCTGGCCAAAATGGTGAAACTCCGTCTCTACTAAAAATACACAAATTAGCTGGGCGTGGTGGTGAGTGCCTGTAATCCCAGCTACTCAGGAGGCTGAGGCAGGAGAATCACTTGAACCTGGGAGGCAGATGTTGAAGTGAGCTCAGATCACACTACTGTACTCCAGCCTGGGCAACAGAGCAATATTCCATCTCAAAAGAAAAAAAAAAAAAAGGGGGGCACAGCCTACCAGAGCTGCTCAGACACATGTTCTTTATCTGAATTTTTGGGGGTCAATTCAAAATCCAATCAACCGATGACAATGACATCCTAGAAACTGTTCCCAGATCAGACAGTAAAATTTCACAGATTCTGCCTTTGAGTCATGGGGATTTGAGTCTCTGTAGGTTCAGGAGAAACATCTCATGCATACAATTCCAGAGAGTCAGGGGCCAGCCTTTTCTGTAAAAAGAGAAACAAAATGGAATTGCACATTGGCATGGACCGGATGCAAGGAAACATCACTAATTTAAGCTCCTTTACAAACCCTATCCTAGGAAGCACTTTCCTTCTTCACTTGCAGCAGTCAAGCGTCTCCAGTGTCATTGCGTCTAAACCTGTTGACATGATGGGGCTGTGCTTCACCTGGAAGATGGTCTCTATTCCTGACCATTCTGAAGGCAAAGAGCTTGAAATAAGTTCAAATTCAAGTTGCAGCACATCCACGGAGCAGCTGGAAGTGCTGCCTGTGGCCTGTCGTAATGGCAGGGTAGCAGGGAGAGAGAAATGTTTTTCTTCACCCATCATCGGCTTTATGACTAAGGCCCCTAGAACAAAAACAGAATAGCAAGAGAAAAGCAGGTCCATGTATTTAGGTTTTATGTGACATGGAAGCCATCATAAGAAATAAATAGGGAAATCTGAGTATTTTTGTGCTTCGGTTTTGGTTTTTTGTTTGTTCGTTTGTTTGTTTTTTGAGAGGGAGTCTCACTCTGTCGCCCAGGCTGGAGTTCTATGGCATGATCTCGGCTCATTGCAACCTCCACCTCGTGGGTTCAAGCGATCCTCCTGCCCCAGCCTCCCGAGTAGCCGGGACTATAGGCAAGCACCACCACGTCCGGCTAATTTTTATATTTTTAGTAGAGACGGAGTTTCACCATGTTGGCCAGGCTGGTTTTGAACTCCTGACCTCAGTTGATCCACCTGCCTTGGTCTCCCAAAGTGCTGGGATTACAGATGTGATATGCTTAGTTTTAATGAAGAGTGAACAGTGATGGAAAAGTGTGATTATTGGACAGAAGTGTTACAGGAATGGGGTCCCGAACCAGACCACAAGAGAGGGTTCTCGGATCTCAAGCAAGAAAGAATTCAGGGTGAGTCCACAGAGTAAAGTGAAAGCAAGTTTATTAGGAAACAAAAGGAATAAAGAATGGCTACTCCATAGACAGAGCAGCCCCGAGGGCTCCTGGTTGCCCATTTTTATGGTTATTTCTTGATATGCTAAACAAGGGGTGCATTATTCATGCTTCCCGTTTTTAGACCATGTAGGGTAACTTCCTGATGTTGCCATGGCATTTGTAACTGTCATGGCGCTGGTGGGAGTGTAGCACTGAGAATGACCAGAGGTCACTCTTGTGGCTATCTTGGTTTTGGTGGGATTTGACCGGCTTTTTTTTTTTTTTTTTTTTTTTTTTTGCAACCTGTTTCATCAGCAAGGCCTTTCTGACCTGTATCTTGTATCAACCTCCTATCTCATCCTGTGACTTAG